TTAGAGCCGTATCAGTAAGTTTTAAATATATGGCTTTAAGTGAAATAAGTTTAAAATAAAAACAACAAAATATAGTTGTGTTTATGAAATCTAAACATGAGTTACTATCATAAAATATTTTAGATTTGATGCAGATACTAGTACAGTGCTTCCCTGAGGTTTTTTTCATTACGTGGCAGGGGAAAACATCGAGAAAATATTCCCTCAAGCTGCATATTCTGCTACTATTTGTTTCTTGTAATGAAAACAAGTGTGCAGACTTCATATTGGTTGAATTTAAATAAATGTTTATGGATTGTTTAGTATATAAATGTAATTTTAATTCAGAGAATATTGTGAAAGTCCTGGAAAATAAATTACAGGAACTGAAAGTAGCATGGTCACTGTGTGTGTTAAACACATAATAAGATTTATGAAATCCATTTTCAGTAGACAACTTTCAGACTTTTTAAAAAGTAAAACTTCCCATTAAAAAGCCACTTAATTTTTTTTCCTTGTAAGACACGCAAGCTAAAAATTAATTTTAAAAAAAGAGAGGTTTCTACTTCATTTATTTAGGTAAAGTAACTCTTTCTCCTCAAATGAAAATTCTTACAGTACCCTTAAGGATAATTGATAATGGGCACCCAGGCATCTGAAAGGACAAGGAGTCTATTTTCCTTTGTTCTTATCTAATTTCTGTTGAATAAAGAGATTCTGCCCCAGAGGGTTAAAATTATTTTCAGGATGTTTTTACTTTCAGGATGTTTTTAAGAACGTGGTGATTCCATGAACTTCTGTAGGCTTAAATATTTTCATTGTTTTGTATATTAGGTGATCTGCATAATGTTTAATCTTTCTTTTTTTAAGGTTTTATTTATTTATTTTTTAAAGTAATCTCTACATCCAACACGGGGCTCAAATTTACAGCCTCAGGATCAAGAGTCACATGCCCTACTGACTGAGCCAGCCATATATCTTTTTTTCTTTATATAAGCCAATTGGTATAGTCATACCTCTTTTCTAATTTAAATCTGTTTGTATGGAGGTTGCCTAGCTGGCTCAGTTGGTAAAGTATGTGACTCTTGATCTCAGGGTCATGAGTACCAGTCCCACATTGGGCATAGAACTTACTTTAAAAGAAAAGATTAAAAAAAAAAGTGTGTGTGTGTATGTATCATTATAATAGAAAAAAATCAGTTTTAAATGATGGCACTATCATAGTTCTTGGTTTAAATAAATATAAAATTCTAAAGCCTTTAGGGATGCCTGCCTGGGTGGCTCAGTCGATTAAGCATCTGCCTTCAGCTCTGGTCATGATCCCAGGGCCCTGCATTGGTCTCGTTGCTCAGCAGGAAGGCTGCTTCTCCCTCTGTCTGCCACTCCCCCTGCTTGTGCTCTCTCTCTTTCTCTCTGACAAATAAATAAAATCTTTGAAAAAAAAGAAAAAGATTCTAAAGCCTTTAAATTAAGATAAAACAGGACACAAAACTTTATTTTTTTTTAAAGATTTTTTATTTTTATTTGTTAATGAGAGACAGAGAGAGAGAGAGAGAGAGGCAGAGGGAGAAGCAGGCTCCCAAGGAGCAGGGAGCCCGATGCGGGACTCAATCCCAGGACCCCGGGACCATGACCTGAGCCAAAGGCAGACGCTTAACCATCTGAGCCACCCAGGCGCCCAGGACACAAAACTTTAAATAAAACACTTTGTTTATCTTTTCTATATTATTTTATGCAAGAAAAAATATTTTTTTTTGCTGTAATTTTACATATTGAGGACTATGTAAATGGTAAGATAGAAAAGTGTTGGGCGCCTGGGCGGCTCAGATGGTTAAGCGTCTGCCTTCAGCTCAGGTCATGATCCCAGGGTGTGAACGTAAGCCCCACTGATGGATTTGCTATGAAGATAGCAAGGGCTGTAAAGGAAGGCATTTTTCCGAATTTATATTTTTAAATCTTGGGCTGTAATAGTTAAAATTTCATAACTCATTTATACTCTAATAGTACTGTTTGATATTTTTAAAACTCAAAATATATCTATTAATTATGGCTTACCAGTTTTTAGTTAGTGCTTCTAATGAATTACAGTTTAATGACTTGGGGATTGATTGTGTAAATTATTAAAAATAAATGGAATTGTAATTTGTTTTAAAATAAGTTATATAGGAAAACTGGTTTCATTATATATTAAACAGTTTTTAAATCAATAAGATCAGGGAGCCCGATGCGGGGCTTGATCCCAGGACTCCAGGATCATGACCTAAGCCAAAGGCAGACACTTAACTGACTGAGCCACCCAGGTGCCCGAAAGGGGAACCCTCTTTCACTATTAGATTTTATTTATTTATTTGACAGAGAGAGAGAGACACAGCGAGAGAGGGAACACAAGCACGGGGAGTCGGAGAGGGAGAAGCAGGCTTCCCGTGGAGCAGGGAGCCTGATGCGGGACTCGATCCCAGAACCCTGGGACCATGACCTGAGCCAAAGGCAGACGCTTAACCAACTGAGCCACCCAGGCGCCTCTGGTGTAGCCACTTTAGAAAACAGTATGGAGATTCCTCAGAAAGTTAAAAATAGATCTACCCTGCACTCCTACAATTGCACTACTAGGTTTTTCTTTTTTTTTAAGATTTTATTTATTTGACAGAGAGATAGAGCATAAGTAGGCAGAGCGGCAGGCAGAGGCAGATCGGCAGGCAGAGGCAGAGTAGGGAGCCTGACGCGGGACTCAGTCCCAGGACCCTGGGATCATGACCTGAGCTGAAGGCAGACACTTGACCGACTGAGCCACCCAGGCGCTCTGCACTACTAGCTGTTTACCCAAAGGCTACAAAAATACAGATTTGAATGGGTACATGTACCACAATGTACCATTATAGCATTATCAGCAATAGCAGCATTATCAGCAAGAGCCATGCTATGGAGAGATCCCAAATAGCCATCAACTGATAAATGGATAAAGAAGATGTAGTGTATATATATATATAATGGGAATATTACTCAGCCATCAAAAAAATGAAATCTTGTCATTTGCAATGACATAGATGGAGCTAGAGTATATTGTGCCAAGTGAAATAAGTCAGAGAAAGACAAATACTATATGATCTCATTCATATGTGAAATTGAAGAAAGGAAACAGATGAACTTATGGGAAGGGGGAAAAGAAGAAGAAAAGAGGGAAAGAAATCATAAGAGACTTTTAATGATAGAGAAAAACTAAGGATTGATGGAGAGAGATGGGTGGGGATGGGTTAGATGGGTGATGGATATTAAGGAGGGCACTTGTGATGAGCCCTGGGTGTTGTATGTAAGTGATGAATCACTGAATTCTACTCCAGAGACCAATATTGCACTGTGTGTTCACTAACTAAAAATAAGAAAACACTTCTATCTTCATGGAAGAAAAAAATCAATAAATCAATAAAATCAGTGTTTCACATTTAATGCAGTAGATGGTGGCCTAAGAAGAAAATTAATCTTTAATTAGAAATCTGAGTAAAAATAGAAAGTTCTCCCTGTTGCAGTAGTTCAGTTTGTTTAAAAATACTAAATCTTGGGGGCTGGCTCACTCAGTTGGTAGAGCATGCGATTCTTGATCTCAGAGTTGCGAGTTCCAGCCCCACATTCGGTGTAGAGCTTACTTTACATAAGTATATATATACTTATATTTATATTTATATATAAAATCTGATTATAGTTGACTTACTGAAAAAGGAAGACATCCCAAAAAGAAAAATTCTGTCTTTGGAAATAAGTTGTAAAATTACAAAACTGCATTGTAGAATTTAGTTAATGATTGACTTTGAGAGCTGATATATTTGAACTTGAAAGTGTTTATCTTAACTATTAATATTTTTTAAGATATACCTTATTGGTTTAATTCCTTTGACTTTCTCACCATCCTCAGCAAGTAAGTTGGAGGAAATTTGTTTTGTTCTGTTTGGTTTTTAGTAAGCTCAGTGCCCAACTTGGGGCTTAAACTCACCACCCTGAGATCGAGAGTCCCATGCTCTATCAACTGAGCCAGCCAGGCATCCCCAGATTGGCACTTTTAAGGGAAAAAAATATATATATATATATATGTGTATATATATATATATCTATACATATAGATATATATAGATATAATTGTAGCATCAACATGAAGGAAAAAGAAAATCATGGAAATACGCTAGCCAGCCAAATGCATGTTTCAGCATGGGAGATAGCATAGTGAAATAAAAAGAGCACTGATTCAGAGTCTAAAGGATCTGCTCTATTACACTGCAGGATTATTGAAAGGCTCGAGTAAAACGTTTCTGAAAATATTTCATAAAACTAGCACAAGCTGTGAAATGTAAGATGTCGTTTTGCTTTGGGGGTAATAAATGCTTATTCAGTTATCGCCACATAACTGCTTTTTTCATCTGACTGGTGATCAGCAGAGGTCTTCATTGACTGTCTTGAAAAATCCTATGATTTTCGACCCTGATGTTAATCAGGGAGTGAGTCTGGTAAGTAGTAGAAGGAAAGAGAAAGAGACAAATGTGATAGGTCAGTATTTCCAAAAGAATGAGTTGGTTTGGGGTGCCTATGTGCCTGTCAGTTGAGTGTCTGACTCTTGATCTCAGCTCAGGTCTTGATCTCAGGGTTGTGAGTTCAAGCCCCACACTGGGCTCCATGCTGGGTGTGGAGCCTACTTAAAAAAAAAAAAAAGAATGTGTTGGTTCATACTTAGTTTATAACCTTTTGTTCATCCCTAGATAATCCAGAGATAATCTGAAAAATAAAGTAACAGTGTTTTGGCTTATGCTTGAATTGTGGTAAAACGTTATCTTTAAGAGTATAATTGTTCTATCAAGATTTTTATTTGCATATTTTCTAGTGCAACCTTCTGTGATTTTTTTTTAAATCATTCATCAAAAGCAATGATTAAGTGAATCAGGTTGTGAGATATTTAATATTATAAATCCTATAAAGAGCCATCTTTCATTCTTCCTTATACTTTTCATTAATGTTTTGATTATCCTCCTTTTATACAGGACTTTGCTTCCCGGGCTAAACTGGCAATTCAAAACCTAGTACAGAAGGTTGGATTTTTTGGAATTTTGGCCTGTGCTTCAGTAAGTGAATTGTATTAAAAGTGAGAAATTCCAATAAATGGTAGATTTATATTTTGATCCAATTTGTTTTTAAAGATAGCACACTAGGAAAAAAATAAAGATGACACACTTGAGTGAACAAAAATGCTATCACTTTTAATGAGTATGTAGTTTTATTAATCGTTCATCTTACTCATCAAATGAGCTGTTTCTGTTGGATAGGTTCATATCTTGTTTATTGACTTTAAACATTTCATCTTGCCATTGATGACTTCAGACCTAAATGGCTTGTTTCAGTAAGAATAGAAGAGAAAAAAAGAAAGAAGATTCATCCTTTCCATGAAGAATTTATCAAATGAAGTGGATTTAACCAAATAACAATGACTTCATTCTTTCCAGAGTTATAGATAAGTAGTCTTTTTCCAGAGTTTCAAGCATTAGTTGTAAGGAAGAATTCATATGAAACCTGTCTTAAGGGATATTTACAACTATCAAGGTAATTGAAACCTCTCGGGCAAAGTTAAGTGCATCTTTGGCTACAGTGAACTAAGAAGCCACATATGTCAAAAATGGAGCTAATATCTTAAACTGTAGTTTGTGAAATTGACATTCCTTCATTAGTCGATGTTTATCCTGGTCCTTTTCTAATATAATAGAAACAGTTATATTTGAAATGGAACAGTTTGAACAGAGTTTTCTTTGGTAGCCTATACACAATTTTTGGCAGTTTGGTGGTGGATTTGGCCAGTATAACTAGGTGCACCTAGTTGTTATGATAAAAACTGCAACTGTAAGTATAATTCACAAAATTGTTGTCTACTGACACACAGCTCCTTTATCAATTATGTACTAGAATGTGTATTCATCTTTGAGTACTCCTCCCTTAGCAGAGCACCTGGCCAAAAAAGAGGACATTTGGTGCCAAAATTTCTAATGTGATGTGAACATTCTAGATATACTGTAAAATACACATGTGCCTTTGACCCTGGCAATATTAGAAATTTTCATAATCTAATTTTTCTTTTTAATGTAGAAGCTCTTTTTCATAATATTGACCTCAATTATTTAAGCCATTTATATTATAGCATGATATAGTAGAAAGAGAATTGGCTTTGGCATTCCTAAACCAGTTTTGCCTCTTATTAACTCTGTAACCTAGTCAAGTTACTCTCTTTGAACCCTAGTTTTCTAATTTTTAAAAAGGGGCAATAAGACACTGCTCTTAAAGGCTGATGTGAGGATTTAATATATGTGAACTAACACAGTGCTTAGAACGTAAATGTTCCTCCATTTTTTATTGTTATTTGTCAGCTATGATTCAGTCACTGAGTGTTTGGAATAAAGAGGTGAAAGATACTCCCTTTCCTCAAGGATCCTGAAGTGTAGTGAGGGAGACCATTGAAATACAAGGATAAGTTGAAAGTGCCATGGAAGTCAGCAGAATGGGATTAAGCAGAGAGACCTAATGGATAATAATGTCCTTACTTCAGAGGCTAAGCGAAGAAGCATGGGAGCCACATTGCCTGAGTTGAAATCCTGCTCTGCTGCTGAAATCCTTCTATCCTGAATAAATTGTCGAACCTGTCTGTCTCACTTTTCTGTAAAGTGAGTGTAATGATATCATATAGCATTGTTTTGGGATTAAGTTGACGATGTAGAAACTTCAGAAAAGTACCTAACAAGGCAAAGCATTCAAGAAAAATTAGCTTTCAGGGCGCCTGGATGGCTCAGATGGTTGGGCGTCTGCCTTCGGCTCAGGTCACGATCCCATGGTCCTGGGATCAAGCCCCACGTCCGGCTCCTGGCTCAGCAGGGAGCCTGCTTCTCCCTCTCCCTCTGCCTCTCCCCTGCTCATGCTCGCTGTATCTCAAATGAATAAATAAAATCTTAAAAAAAAAAAGATAGAAAAGAAAAATTAGCTTTCATTATTCCTGGGGAAAACACAGAGTACCTTCAATTTATTAAAACAAAAAATAGTATTCTTTGGCACTCATCTATCCCTGTGTCCTCACTGCTGAAAATACACTTTCTATACTAGTCAGTCTTCTTTATATTTGACTAGGAATATTGATAGATCAATTTGGCCTTCTAGGAACTTTTTTCTAGAAAATTTTTGATACTTAAAGTGTTGAAAGCATATATACTTCATTTAAGTTTATTAATTATTTTGTTACTAACATTCAAACTAAGATAAATAAAACTCCTAGTTGAGGGAACATTTCAAAGCTACTTAGTAGTGCATTTAATCCCAGTCTTCCTTTCTGTGTATTTAGTCAACAGTTGAATAAAAAGAATAAATAACATGCACATGAAACAATAAATTCACTGATTATGCTCTTCTGAGGGTATACAGCATACACTGAGGTGTCCAACATGTTTAGCAAATTCTAATTTTTAATCTCTGCTTTACATATCTTATATACTTTAATTTCTACTTCAACATGGGATAGAGCCTGATAATAAAGGAAAACAAAATTGTAATCCATGGAATTATAAGGGTCACATGAGAAAATATAAAAAATGATGTAAAGCTGTGCAAATGGTATTGTTATTAACATGATTATAAGACAGATGAAATTGCATAAAACATTTGAATTTGGATGAGAGAAACAAAACTGAGTTATTGAATCCAAGTGTTACAAACAAAAGAATATTTGAATTCTAATTTAGTCATGTAATTATTTTTAAAAGAACATATGTGACAAATATCTTTTAAACAAGTAGGCTTTTCTTTGAAAGTTCAAAAAAAATTTTATAAATTAATTGGCTTCTGAATGGTTCTGCCAACTGCCACAAGGACAGAGTGCTTCTATGGGAGAAAAATGGGTGAAGTGCTCAAAAACAGCTTGTGGTTTCTTTGCATTTTTACATGAAATTGTCTTTCAGCATTCTTGAAATGTGGGAATGTTTGGAAAAGGTATTTGTTGTGAATCACTTCTTTGTCTGGGACTGAGTATTCAAAACATCTGAATCTATGTGCTCATATTTCCACACTTGATTTTCTTTTTAAAATATATTTACACAGCCGCACAGCCTTGGGCTGTCATGCAAATGATGAGATTTGTATGTGCAAAATACAAACTATGAATTTTTTTATGTTGAAGAATAAAAGCACATCTACATATAAATGTATTTGTAATTTTTATAAGAATGTTTGCTGTATATATGGGAGTACTTTCTAGATAATATTCTTATTTCAAGCTGAAGATTTTAGAACCCTAGTAACTACTGAAATAATCTTAAGGCTTTTTCTTCATTTATACCTCAACTTAGACACAGCTACCAAATGGCAAAGTATCTGCTGAATGGTATTAAATTCCTGCAGGTCCATTGGTTTTATCCAATTCTAATGTGATTTTTTTTAAAAGTATATTTATGGGGTGTTAGCTATAAGTAGTACAAGTAACAGGACAGCTGGGTTTGCTTTGAACAGCAACCTGAAGTGAATATGAGACCCAGCTTACAGAAACAATACTTGCCTAACCTTCTGAACAGTCTGTTACTGATCAGGGAACCTGTACCTCTCTTTGCAATCAAAGCAAGGCTTAAAGCATGATTCCACGTACCTGTAGGTGATAAAATTAAACTGTTCCTTGGATTATATATTTTAACTTTTTTTTTTTAATAGATTCCAAATCCTCTATTTGATCTGGCTGGAATAACATGTGGACACTTTCTTGTACCTTTTTGGACTTTCTTTGGTGCAACTCTGATTGGAAAAGCAATAATTAAAATGCATATCCAGGTAAGGATACCCTCTGATTCACTGCCTAATGATGATGAGCCCATTAAAAGGCATTAAAACTTAATTTCTTTGCTCATCGCAATATGAATTGTTAATATTTTGGTTCTGCTTCTGTTAGTTGGTATCTTACTTGGGTATTTAACCATGGAAAGTCATTTGGAGGTTAGTGAATTTGGTGCTGGTTTTCCCTGTCCCTATTGGAAAATTGTGCTCCTTTAAGACTTTTCTCCTTGTTTTCTTTCTTTCCTTCATTTTCCTCCCTCCTTTCCTGTCTTTCTTTTTTTTTTTTTTAAAGATTTTAGTTATTTATTTGAGAGAGAGAGAATGAGAGCCAGAGAGCACGAGAGGGAAGAGGGTCAGAGGGAGAAGCAGACTCCCCACTGAGCAGGGAGCCCGATGTGGGGACTCGATCCCGGGACTCCAGGATCATGACCTGAGCTGAAGGCAGTCGCTTAATCAACTGAGCCACCCAGGCGCCCTCCTGTCTTTCTTTATTTCACTTTTTGCCCTGTGAAACTGTTCATCCAAGACTATTATCAAGCAAAAATAGGAAAATGCACATCACTTTCACATACATAGTCCAAAAATGTCATATTTTTACTGACCCATGAGCTGAGAGAAGACGGCCTTTCACTAATTCTACTTTTCTTCCATACCCCCCAATAATACTTTCTCTCAAGGCACCAATGTCCTTTACAGAAAACCAGCCAGATGTTAGTGTGGGAGAGAATGGGGAAGAAAGGGGTCTCTAAAGAGGTGAAGAGCTGTGGGTTGTGGTTAGAGAAGTGAGAATCTGCTATTGTTCCAAGCCAGTCTTAACAAAAACCCTAGGATAGATATATGTATGTGTGTATATATATAAGTCTATATATATATACACACACACACGTATATGAACAGAGGAGAGAAAATTAAGGGAAATGAATATGTGCTTCTAGAACTGTGATATGAATTGTTTCCTTTTAAAAGGGCAAATCTCACTAGGAGAAAACACAATTAACCTGAAAAGAATTTCTTAACCAGTGAGGTTTGCAGCACAGAGGCATTCACCAAAGGAAAGGCAAGAGCAGTGCCCTGGTATGATTACTTCAAAATTAAAAGCACCTTTGTCCCAAGTTTCTTAACACCTCTCTACCTTCAGTTCTTAGAAGAGAATAAAACAAGAAAACTTCAGCTGCTTTTACCTGCCCAGTTTCTAATGTTAGATTTTGGCATTTGGGTTGAGTTTATTGAGCCTGTCCTCTACTTCCCTGCCGTGATAATCACTCACTATTCCAAGGACATTCCTCCTTCAAGGAATATATTTTCTCCCACTTATATTAAGTATATTGTTCAATGAAATGAGTTTTTTAATATTGGAATGCTAGTTACTTTGGTAAATATTACAATACCATATTAGAATTTTTCAAATAGGGCCGCCTGAGTGGCTCAGTCGTTGGGCGTCTGCCTTAGGCTCAGGTCATGATCCCAGTATCCTGGGATCGAGCCCGCATCGGACTCCCTATTCAGTGGGGAACCTGCTTTTCCCTCTCCCACTCCCCCTGCCTGTGTTCCCTCTGTTGCTGTCTCTCTCTCTCTGTCAAATAAATAAATAAAATCTTTAAAAAATAAATTAAATCTTCTTAAAAAAAAGAATTTTTCAAATAATAAAATACTATGGCGAGTAGTAAACTATTTTGCAGTGTATCAAGATCATTTTTTCTGGGGCGCCTGGGTGGCTCAGTCATTAAGTGTCTGCCTTCAGCTCAGGTCATGATCCCAGGGTCCTGGGATCGAGCCCCACATCGGGCTCCCTGCAGAGCGGGAAGCC